CCACGGCCCCTCTCACTCACAGTATAAAGTCACCTACCTCTTGGGTAAAGCCACGGCCCCTCTCACTCACAGTATAAAGTCACCTACCTCTTGGGTGGACCCACGGCCCCGCTCATTCAAAGTATAAGGTCACCTACCTTTTGGGTGAACCCACAGCCCCTCTCACTCACAGTATAAATTCACTTAACTCTTGGGTAAAGCCACGGCCCCTCTCACTCACAGTATAAAGTCACCTACCTCTTGGGATTACACAGCCCTTCTCACTCACAGTATAAAGTCACCTACCTCTTGGGATTACACAGCCCTTCTCACTCACAGTATAATGTCACCTACCTCTTGGGTGAACCCAGAGCCCCTCTCACTCACAGTATAATGTCACCTACCTCTTGGGTAAAGCCACGGCACCTCTCACTCACAGTATAAAGTCACCTACCTCTTGGGTAAACCCACAGCCCCTCTCACTCACAGTATAAAGTCACCTACCTCTTGGGATTACACAGCCCCTCTCACTCACAGTATAATGTCACCTACCTCTTGGGTGGACCCAGAGCCCCTCTTACTCACAGTATAATGTCACCTACCTCTTGGGTAAAGCCACGGCCCCTCTCACTCACAGTATAAAGTCACCTACCTCTTGGGTGGACCCACGGCCCCTCTCACTCACAGTATAAAGTCACCTACCTCTTGGGTAAAGCCACGGCCCCTCTCACTCACAGTATAAAGTCACCTACCTCTTGGGTGGACCCACGGCCCCTCTCACTCACAGTATAATGTCACCTACCTCTTGGGTGAACCCACAGCCCCTCTCACTCACAGTATAATGTCACCTACCTCTTGGGTGAACCCACAGCCCCTCTCACTCACAGTATAATGTCACCTACCTCTTGGGTAAAGCCACGGCCCCTCTCACGCACAGTATGTCACCTACCTCTTGGGATTACACAGCCCTTCTCACTCACAGTATAATGTCACCTACCTCTTGGGTGAACCCACAGCCGCTCTCACTCACAGTATAAAGTCACCTACCTCTTGGGTGGACCCACGGCCCCTCTCACTCACAGTATAATGTCACCTACCTCTTGGGTAAAGCCACGGCCCCTCTCAGTCACAGGATAAAGTCACCTACCTCTTGAGTGGACCCACAGCCCCTCTCACTCGCAGTATAAAGTCACCTTCCTCTTGGGATTACACGGCCCCTCTCACTCACAGTATAAAGTCACCTACCTCTTGGGTGAACCCACAGCCCCTCTCACTCACAGTATAAAGTCACCTACCTCTTTTTCTCTCCGAGGACCTAGACAACTATCAGCTGAGACCAACCCTCACCATATCCCGTAAGTGGGGATTATACCACTATAGGCGATCCACACTAGAGATGGTTATAGCTCCTTTATATGTGAGTGCAATATCATTATTATTATTAATAATAATAATACAAAGCCTACTAAGACACTATCAGGTTATTCTGTCTCTTCTTTACCCACATACAGAGACCAAAGACACCAAGACCCTCCACACCCTCCAAGTATAAAGAACCTAGGAACCACAGTTGAGCCTACCTTCCAAATAAGAGACATTTTTATAAGTGACAATTTGCACATCTGGAATAAGACTCACAGTATTTATTTTATCGTACAATTTATGGCGCAGCCCTTACTTGTCTTTTGCTTTTGTGTTATCCTAAAGGGTTGAGAGGGATCCCCTTTTAGAGTCGCTGACTTGCTGTTCATTGTTTGTGTTACTGAGCACTGACCCATTTGTGTATTTCTTAAGTAAATATACGTCTGTTTTTGCTACCTGAAGGGCACCTTGCTAACATAGGTCTATATCTGTATGAATACATAAATCACATTAGAGTGTCAGCTCTGTGGGTTATTGTTGTACTGCTCAGTGAATATTACAATCTAATCAGTTGCGATAGTTGGACCAGTCCCTGCTTGCTCAGTGAATGCATTCTGATTTACCAAAAATAGAATCAGTCAGGGATGTGTGCTGGCCAACATTTGTGACCCCAGTTGCTGTGCAGTGCAGCTCCTATCATGCTCAGCTGTCTACTGTAGGCTCTCAGTTTAAGGCAGCCAGACTATTTGGTGGCACAGATTCTCCTTTTATTTATTGAATTGATCTGGAAGAGGACACTCCATCAACCATAGACCACTAGATAAGTATTGTCTGGGAAACATTTTATATCTGATTTTTAAACTACACTATACTAGTAACCTTTGAGAATGGCAACATCCAGTTTTATTACTGAAACATGATCTGACTAATTCCATGCAGATAGATTCCCTTCAATGCCTGGCTGCTTCCAGTAACCATTAGTTTACTATGTTACCAGTATTCTGAGGGGTAGGATAGAGGCTAAAATGATTCACACGTGTTACAAAATTCTAAGGATTTCCATAACAGTTCTCCACATTAATTGGTGGTATTGGCAGTAAAATTGGACTTTCCTATTAAATCACAATGATGTGCTACAAACAATACCAAACCAAAACAATTAGTAAATATAGATGGACAGTGTTGAAAGCACCAGGGGCTGCTAATTAAACAGGCTGATATACAGTAAGCTGCACAAGTATTGGGCTGCAATCCTGACCATTCTTGGCCACAGTGTGGCTAGTATCACAGGGTACCTACCTGCTATGTACTATACTGTCAGCCACCAGTATAGGGAAATGATTATTTTACTTGCTGTACCATTAATAGAAATTGAATGCTCGTCTGTATTTAATGCTTTTACTGTCATTTTTTGAGCATGAAAATTTGTTAAACTGGAAATTATGCAGAATTTACAAAATCATTTGAAATTAAGGGCCAAAGTAGTCAGTCTGGAAATTTAGTAAAAAACCCATTTTACTAATCCATGATATTGTGGCCTAAAATGATCCGGTCAATTCCTACCAATTAACAGTATAGTGTAAAAGAGAAGTAAGCAAACAATAATGGCAGCATTTCGAGGGTATCCTTAAATTTAGGGTGCAGAACCTGTCGCTTTTAGCATTTGAGTTCTCTGCTATTTGTTAGGCCAGTGCTAGAGAGAAAATTAAAGGGACACTATAGTGACCCAGACCACTTTCTCTCATTGAGATGGTCTGGGTGCAGTGTCCCTGTCCCCTTAACCCTGCAGCGTAAAACACTGCAGTTTTTTTGAAACTGCAATGTTTACTTTGCAGATTTAAGTCCACTTCTAGTGGCTTTCAGTATAACAACCATTAGAGGCGCTTCTGTTGCACTGACCAAGTAAAACTATGTTTTGTGTTGTGGAAGCCTCATAAAAAAGCATTGTTTTCATTGACAAAGTTTGAATGCGCTCGCGGCCCTGGCTGCACATGCACATTAGGTCCCAATTGCACCTCTATGAGGAGCAGTGGATTGGACCATGCCAGGGGAGGCCCTGTCTCCTCCGTGACGGTGCCTCAAATGAAGAGGCCAGCAGTGCAAAGAGAACACGGAACACGGTTAGCTTAAAAAAAATAATATTTCCACTGGGGGGTACCTGGGGACAGGGCCACTATAGCTTTAGGAATATCGATTTTTATTCCTATAAGAGACTATGCAACCTTGCCAACTGGGTTGCAAGCAGAGACATACAAGAGCCATCATGTTCAAGAGAATCTGACACCACAATCAACAACTTCTCAACAACTTCTCAGTTTACTCACACTGTTTGAAAGGTTTGGAAAGGGTGATGGGTCTTTTCTGCTGAAACATCAATTCAACACTCAGCATTTCTATGTACACGTTTCGGGATCATTTATCAAAGTTTCTTACTTTGTGCCCTTTGCTGAAAACAATAGATGAAACCAGGGGGTTGAACTTGTTCTAAGCCATTCTCGTGTTTTTTTATGCATCATTTCTTCTCTAAATTCAAGGAGTTAATCAGTCTACTTTTAGTGAAGACCACCCCCATTAAAAACCAGAAAAATCTACTACAAAATGCTAACGTGGCAAAGGCAGTGTTTTGTAAAAATGTATTGACAGTAGATTGTCATAAACCCTTTTAATATATGAAGTGGAAATAATACTATACTTGCTTTTGACTTAATGTGTGTCTCCTTAATACACATATACATTTCTCCAATTTTCACTAGTTCATCGTTACATATTGACTTGCTTTGTGCTTAACAGTTTGTCTAGATTTCTGGTTTCTTTTGATGTGCTATGTATGTTCTTTCAACAAAAGTTAAATAAAGTTCAATTCATAAAAAAGGACGTCATTCACTGAAATATGAATTTTCAATATCCAGGAATAGAGATGTCGCGAACTGTCCGACGAACTGTTCGCGAACTGTCCGCAGGCGAACAATAGCGTGTTCGCGTTGGACGAACATATCTGATTTCCGGTCCGCCCCTATACGTCATCATTGAGTAAACTTTGACCCGGAACCTCACAGCCAGCAGACACATTCCACCCAATCAGCAGCAGACCCTCCCTCCCAGGAAGTGTCTGCTGACTGTGAGGTTCCCGGTCAAAGTTTACTCAATGATGACGTATAGGGGGCGGACCGGAAATCGGATATGTTCGCCCAACGCGAACACGCTATTGTTCGCCGGCGGACAGTTCGCGAACAGTTCGGCGGACAGTTTGCGACATCTCTATCCAGGAAGAAGGTAAAACAGAGATGTAACTTGACTTGCGCACAACTGCTAGGAACTAGGTTAAGTTCTATCTGATATGAGTGGTTATAATACTGCAGCTAGGGCCAGATTAAGAGCCCAGTGGGCCTGGAGCTGACAATTATGATTGGGCCTAATTACAGAATGTTATCGATCAAAAACACTAAAACAACCATACCTCCCATGAATATATTAGGGCATTCTCTATTTCCTGATGAACAACTCTGCATTACCTTTGTCACTCAGGGCAGGTTAAAGTTAGATATTCCGTGGTTTAGAAGAGAGGTATGTTATATCAGATATAGAGAGTTAGTCTTACTTTTGAATGTTCTAGCCATATAATGAGTCCAAATTAGAAATTCCAAAGAAGGCCATGGCTCTACAAGAGAATTCACCATCGTAAAATGTTACTTCTTTAGGGCTTCTCTGGTAAGGTGACGCTAGCTATACCATTTCCCAAAATATCCTCTTAACATGATGACATTCTTTTAATGCAGCAGCCATTCCTCAAGCTAATAGCGGATTGTCTAAGGGGTAATCTAGCGGGAAATGCATGCACTGTATAAGCAGAAATGTTTATATAATATGGATCCAGATGTTTCATTAATTCTCAGAGGATCCATGAGCAAAAAAACAAAAATCACCTGAATATATTCCATTGCCTCATACTAAAAATGTATGTTAAACAAACCTAGCTCAGTGAATGTATCCTTACAGCAGAAAAATATGGGGGGAAATATCCTCCCATGTGAACCAAATATATGAAAAGAAAAAGCTCTGACTGAAAGCAAAAGAAACGGCTTTGTCCTAAACACGCAATGTTTTAAACAAAAAGACTAAGGTATTTATTGAACAAGTCTATCAAATTGTATTAACAAATTAACAAATTTAAACCTATTTAGTTTAGAAAAACGTCACCTGAGAGGGGATATGATAACATCATACAAATATATTCGGGGCCAATACAAACCATTGTGTGGAAATCTATTCACAAATCGGACTTTACATAGGAGACGAGGCCATGCGTTTAGACTGGAAGAAAAAAGATTTTGTCTAAGGCAAAGGAAAGGTTTTTTTTACTATAAGAACAATAAGGATGTGGAATTCTCTGCATGAAGAAGTGGTTTTCCATACAGATGTTCAAACAGCTACTAGATGCATACTTGCAAAAACAGAATATTCAAGGATATAATCTTTCAATGTAGGGTAATAACTGCTTGATCCAAGGATAAATCTGACTGCCATTCTGGGGTGAAGAAGGAATTTTTTTTCCTAGCTTGTTGCAAAATTGGAAGTGCTTCAAGCTGGGTTGTTTTTTGCCTTCTTTTGGATCAACAAAAAACAAATGTGAGGTAGGCTGAACTTGATGGACGCAAGTCTCTTTTCAGCTATGTAACTATGTATTTGTTTTGCTTCATCTGTTCTCTGATCAAGCAGCCTAGTAAGACGGCAATTAACAGAATGAGTATTTCTAAACATTAAGAAGGAAGTATACATCACCAATAGATATGAGGGTCCTTTCAGAACTTTACTAAAACTGCAAATTCACAAGCTGTTTCGTGGTCGAAAGAAAATTTTGGACTTTGCTTTGCCTTTATTAGTCTGAATGATTTGTGACACCATCAAGCGTCCTGTGTCCAGCTTCTATACTGATAATAAATATATAGATTGCATGGTATATTTATATTTTTTCAGTTGATATACAATACTTAAAGTAGACTTGTGAAAAGGCACTCCTCAGGAAATTTCCCTGAATAAAGCATTTTTTATGTTTTTTTTTGTCTTTTAAGTGTATATTTAAAAGTGAGGCTCTATAACAGATCTACTGCCTTTTGTTTCATCAAGAACCATATATCATAGTAGAGGCATCTACGTGTTTACCGCCCCTACTGGCATACTCGCTACTTCTAAAATAGCTCTCAAGCAAGGGTAGCACTACTAAGGTGTGTAAAATACAGCTTAATATACTTGTAAACCAAAACTCTAAAAATAATATTCAGTTAGGTTCCGTGGTGTATCCTGGTTTTGTGCTGCCCTAGGCAGAACAAAACTCAGGCGCCCCCCTCCCCCCGCGCCACCCCCACCCAACCCTTCCCCCCCACCCCACCTTCTAAATACACACACACACACACACAGTCAGACACAAACACACACAGTCAAACACACACACACAGTCAGACACAAACACACAGTCAGACACACAGTCAGACACAAACACACACACAGTCACACACACACACACAGTCAGACACAAACACACACAGTCAGACACAAACACAGTCAGACACAGTCATTCACATTAACACTTTTTAAAAAAAATTTATTTAACCCCCCCCCCCAGCCATCTTACCTTTGGGAGTGCTGGGGGGAAGGGGTTCATTATCTCCCTGGGCTGATGGGCTAGCTGCTGGGTGGGCGGCTGGCGAGGGAGCACTTCCTCTGAGCTGACTGCTCAGCTCCTTTGCGCGCCGCAGAGTGAGGCTGAGAGCCGGGTTGATGACGTCATATTCCGTCTCCGAGCCTCACTCTGCGGCACGCGAGGGAGCTGAGCAGACCGCTCAGAGGAAGTGCTCCCTCACCAGCCGCCCGCCTGACCATCAGCCAGCGCCGCCCAGCGCCCAGCATGTCTGTTAGCTGCAAGGCTAACAAGGCATTTGCCCTGGGCATTTGGGGGCGGCGTTTTTTGCTGCCCCCTGAAAAATGCCGCCCAAGGCAAATGCCTTGTTTGCCTCGCGGCTAATACGTCCCTGGTTAGGTTTCCAAACACTTGTTTATGTTATTATAATATTACTTCTGTGCTGCTAGGGTACATGAGAAAGCATTAGTCCAAGCAGCAATGGGCATGGGTGATTGGTTGAGAGTGTCAGCTGACTGGTCCCTGGCTATCAGAACCAAAAATTGCAGACATGCATAGGTATGGCCAATGAAGATTTTAATCTTTGTCTTAGCCTTACTTTCAGTGGGGGTTGGGCAGTGGTTGGCTAGAGACCCTTATGACGTGTTAAAGGGACACTCTGCTGCCCAAATACAAAATATATTTAAATAACTGTTGAGTAGATATATCCCAAAACTGACATGCCTTTAATTATGCATGTTTTTATTGAAGGTATGTCTAGAAACTGCTTGCAAAATTTACAGATCTCTTGTTTACAGCCTTTGCAAGCCCTCCCCTTCTAACCCTGCCCAGACTTTCTGTGGCTGTCCAATCACAGACTTCCCAATTGATCTCAATGAGCTGTCTTTGCAAGGCAGGTGCTCTGGGCAATTGCTGCCTCTTTAGTGCAATGCAAGTAAATTGACCAAATCAGGAAGTAACTGGACCTGTAGTCTGCTTGAGAACAATTTCTATTGAAATCTGTACTATTTCCAAAATGAAAAAAAAGACACACACTTTACACATAAAGCTTTTCAGCAAGCTAAATTAATTAGGGGTCTGGAATGTCCCTTTATACTGTTTGTAAATGGTTTAACACTAAATGGGGAGATGGCATTATGGGACTCTAGGCACCTTAACCAATTCAATGAGATGAAGTGGATAAAGTGCCTAAAGTGTCGCTTTAAATAGAACATTTCTCCCACTAAACACAAGAATGTAAACAATCCTCCCCCAATAGATATATTCCACTGAGTTTGTTCCAAAAAGGGTTGCAATAGATTCATATACTATTTTAACACCTTAATTCTTCAACTTTTGAATCAGAAGAAGTGTTAGAATTTGTGCTATGCGCTTATTCCATCTGTAATTTAAGGATTTCTTTTCAGGTGAGCCCATGCATATTATACATTGTATATTGTTTTTAAATGACAGAAATGACTTTCTTTTAATACCTTCTATTTATACCCACCACAACATGAAGTATAGATAAAATGTTAAATATGTGGAAAACCATTTCAGTCTTGATTGTGAAATGCCTCATCGGTCTAGGATCTAGATCAATTTGTGGTAGTTAATGCAAACCCTATATTCACCCTAACCCAATGTTTACACTAAATGGAACCTTACCTCTAACCCTAACCACAGCCAGTCTGAGGACAAGCTGATAATCACCAAAAATGTGGTGATTTAATTGGATTTAAAAGGGCATATGAACTGTTACAGCCACACTTTTTGCAAATTATCAATGACCTGTTATGTTTCATAAAAACTTATTTTTTGTTCTGTTTTATTTGTTATGTTGAGGAAAACAATGTGTGAATGTACCTGATTGAACATCCCCTTTGTCATTGTTGATAACCCATGACCGTTTTTATGCTGTTGATATTACCCATGTCACACATTTTGTATATTGCATTTACAATAAAAAATATTTTTGGGGAAAAAAATGGGTCCATATGCAGCTCTCAATTGGAGTGCTGAATACAGCTCATCAGTCAGTATGGGGCTATTAACTATGTCACCAGCTGACAGGTATCAATTTAACCCTCCTTGCATCAAAATGCAAGGACATTCCATACCATTTTAATGCCGTTAAGGCCCACTTAGGATTGGATGAAGCATCTCAACATGATTAGAGGGACATTATGGGCAGCTCATTAAAGTGGTATGGGTGCAGTGTCCCAGGTCCCTTAACCCTGCAAATATATTTATTGCAGTTTTTAATAAACTGTAATAATTACCTTTGAGGGTTAACTCCACCTCCAATGGCTCTCTATCAGACAGCCACTAGTGGAACTACCGGGTCGTTAGGCGACTTTTGGTCGCCCAACTGACACTGGACGTCCTCACGATATGCATGAGGAGATCTATGTTACCCAAACTCCAATAGGAAAGCATTATGCATGCTTTTTTATGGAGTAAATACTAATGTGAGTGCGACCATTGCCGCTCATGTGCATTAGGTATCTCCCTGCCAGCTGACGTTAGCGGGGGAGAAGCGGAGGCGAAGCTTGAACCAACACTGAGGGACAGAATGGGTTGAGCACCATGGGGGGAACAAACTCCTGTCCATAGCATTAATTAGTACTAATACACAGCTTGGTAATTTCAGGTGGGAATCCATACTTAACAATCACACACGAGATGGTTGTATGTTCTGTCACATATCAAGGTTTACTAAGGATAATCTATATTAAGATGTAGTCAAACTCCTATTTTCACATTATTAAACACTTTTGTTAGAAGACACCGTAGACTTCCTAACTGAATTCTGCAGGAACTAACACTCACGGCTGAATTACTTCTACATGATATATGTGTACTGCTTAATGTTAGCAATTTATGAATTACTTTTGTGTTGAAAATTACTTTTAAGTGAAGTAACACTCCAAGCTCCATAACCACTGCAACGTGCTGTAGTGGTTATTGTGCCAGTAGTGTCCCTGTGGCCGCCCTATTAAAGTAGTCGAACCATTTTGCAAACTTTGATTTACGTTACTATGTTAAAAGAGGAATGTAACATGTTAGTTCATACTGAACATTTGTAAAGTGGATGCATTCCATCAGGTTTTTCAAAATTAATATTTTAAAAATAAAATATGTAAATATTTTAGATATAATAAAATAATTCAACCAAGCGACAACCAATTCCAATTACACTACAAAAATATGGGACGGGGCACAAAATTGCGCCAAAATAAATTGAGCCTTAACAAAGAAGGATACAGTCAGGTCCATAAATATTGGGACATCGACACAATTCTAATCTTTTTGGCTCTATACACCACCACAATGGATTTGAAATGAAATGAACAAGATGTGTTTTAACTGCAGACTTTCAGCTTTAATTTGAGGCTATTTACATACAAATCAGGTGAACGGTGTAGGAATTACAACAGTTTGTATGTGCCTCACACTTTTCAAGGGACCAAAAGTAAAAGGACAATTGGCCAGGTGTGTGTTATTCCCTCGTTATCCCATTTACAAGGAGCAGATAAAAGGTCCAGAGTTCTTTTCAAGTGTGCTATTTGCATTTGGAATCTGTTGCTGTCAACTCTCAATATGAGAGCGAAAGAGCTGTCACTATCAGTAAAGCAAGCCATCGTTAGGCTGAAAAAACAAAACAAACCCATCAGAGAGATAGCAAAAATATTCGGTGTGGCCAGATCAACTGTTTGGAACATCCTTAAAAAGAAAGAACGCACCGGTGAGCTCAGCAACACGAAAAGACCCAGAAGACCACGGAAAACAACTGTGGTGGATGACCGAAGAATTCTTTCCCTGGTGAAGAAAACACCCTTCACAACAGTTGGCCAGATCAAGAACACTCTCCAGGAGCTAGGTGTATGTGTGTCAAAGTCAACAATCAAGAGAAGACTTCACCAGAGTGAATACAGAGGGTTCACCACAAGATGTAAACCATTGGTGAGCCTCAAACACAGGAAGGCAAGATTAGAGTTTTCCAAACAACATCTAAAAAAAGCCTTCACAGTTCTGGAACAACATCCTATGGACAGATGAGACCAAGATCAACTTGTACCAGAGTGATGGGAAGAGAAGAGTATGGAGAAGGAAAGGAACTGCTCATGATCCAAAGCATACCACCTCATCAGTGAAGCATGGTAGTGGTAGTGTCATGGCGTGGGCATGTGTGGCTGCCAATGGAACTGGTTCTCTTGTATTTATTAATTATGTGACTGCTGACAAAAGCAGCAGGATGAATTCTGAAGTGTTTTGGGCAATATTATCTGCTCATATTCAGCCAAATGCTTCAGAACTTATTGGACAGCGCTTCACAGTGCAGATGGACAATGACCCGAAGCATACTGCAAAAGCAACCAAAGAGTTTTTTAAGGGAAAGAAGGGGAATGTTATGCAATGGCCAAGGCAATCACCTGACCTGAATCCGATTGAGCATGCATTTCACTTGAAGAAGACAAAACTGAAGGGAAAAATGCCCCAAGAACAAGCAGTTGCAGTAGAGGCCTGGCAGAGCATCACCAGGGATGAAACCCAGCATCTGGTGATGTCTATGCGTTCCAGACTTCAGGCTGTAATTGACTGCAAAGGATTTGCAACCATGTATTAAAAAGTGAAAGTTTGATTTATAACTGTTAATCTGTCCCATTACTTTTGGTCCCTTAAAAAGTGGGAGGCACATATACAAACTGTTGTAATTCCTACACCGTTCACCTGACTTGGATGTAAATACTCTCAAATTAAAGCTGAAAGTCTGCAGTTAAAGCACATCTTGTTTGTTTCATTTCAAACCCATTGTGTTGGTGTATAGAGCCAAAAAGATTAGAATTGTGCCGATGTCCCAATATTTATGGACCTGACTGTATATGATGGGCTCCTAATTTATTGAAAACATCCCATGTGCTTGATATAAAAATAAAAATTGTGTATATATTTATTTTTCTTTCTATTTTGCAACATTGGTAGCCTTATATGCACAGAGTTTGCAAAGTATCTTGTTGTCTTGAGGAGTGCAGGTTAAGCACGTAGACTTTATATGCTACAATTTGATTGTTATAGGTAAATAAAAAATTTTATTCTAAAACCAGCAGTGTTCTTTTTCTTCCTTTCTATGAAACCTTAGTGAAATGACCAGTCACTCAGATACCAGGATAAGAGGACTTTATGTTTGCAAACAGTGGCTTTATTATTTGGTGCAGCAGAATGAAAAGTGTTGTCTATTTGGCTGAGTATTAGAAATAAACGTATGTTTGTCACAACTACTAAAACGGCCAACCTCCAAGTAAAAGAGGGCCGTATAAGGGTCAGAGAATATTGAAGAAGGGGAGTACTTATAAAGAAGGGGTATGTAGGGAGACGTAATAAACAGAAGAGGTGGAGGAGAGGGCAGTGGCGGATAAAGGGGGGGGGGCAACGGGGCAATTGCCCCCCCCCCGACAATACCGATGGTCTCCCTCTCCCCTGCCAGCACATGCAGGCGCTAGCCCTGCAATGTGCCTGCAGACCGGAGTGGAGATCACAGATCTCCCTCCCCGGTCCGCAGGCACTGTGCTGGCGGCCGGCGGGGGAGGGAGAGAGGACCCGGGAGCTCAGGCTGCAGCTCCTCCGGGTCCTCCTCTCGCGAGATGTGGAGCGTTGCCGCTGTTACCACGGCAACGCTCCAAATCTCGTGAGAGTGAACTCTAGCCTTGGAGCGCGGGTTAGAGTTCACTCTCCCCACTGGGACCACCAGGGAATCACCACAGGACCAGCAGGGAAATGTTCCCCTTCCCCCCCAGTAAAGGTAAGAAGGGAGGGGGGACATATATATTTTAATTAAATAAAAATATATATTATAAAAAAAAAAAGCCTCCCTACCCTTATCACACACACACACTCTACACACCGCCCCCATACACATACACATACACACACTGCCCCCCCATGCTCCCCATACACACACTGCCCCCCCATACACACACACTGCCCCCCCATACACACACACACTGCCCCCCATACACACACACTGCCTCCCACACACACATACTGCCCCCATACACACATACTGCCCCCATACAGCCCCCCATACACACATACTGCTCCCCATGCACACATATTGCTCCCCATGCACACACACTGTTCCCCATACACACACGCTGCCCTGCCCCCATACACACACACTACCCCCCATACACATACACTACCCGACACACACACTCTGCTCCCCATACACACACACTGCCCTCACACACATACACACTGCAACTGTTACACACACATACTGTCCCACACATACACTGCATCCCTGACATACACTGCTGCCCTCACACACACTACAACCTTCACGCACTGCTCACACACTGTCCCCCTCACACACACACACACACTGCACCCCTTACACATTGCACCACTCACACACACCACTGCTCCTATGCCCTACTACTGCCCCATTTCCCAGCAGACCTCAGCTAAGTTATCAAACTGTTCTTAAATGGCTTGACTACTTACTCTAGGAGGGGGTCCCGGCACTATTGACACCATAACCACTATACTGAGCTGTAGTGGTTATTGTGTCTGGATTATTTATTTAAATAATCTACAAGTTCCCCTCCCGAGATCAGGCTCTGGATCCGCCACTGGGAGAGGGGGACATACCACATTGACAGCGAGTTGTGAGTCCTAAATGGTGGATGAAAAGAATCAACCCACAGGGGTCATGTTCTGAAGAATACATAGGATGCCGTTAGAACATACTGAATGCTTGTTCTATTTTAACTATGTATGCACCTCGTGTTCTTCAGCGGTGTAACAATAATCCACAAATTCAAATGAATCTTGTTCTTATTAGTCTGGTACTAAAAGGGTGGATTACATTCTAGGTATGTTCTTCTCGTTCATAGTGTCTGAGTAACTTAGATGACATCCTAAAAAGTTACCATTACCTCATACATTTGTTTTTCATAGGCGCACACATAATTTTCATTGCAGCCCTGGAACCAAGAAGAGTAGCGCCCTATAACTATACACACATTATTGAATCACACTGAAAATTAGCTTTTTAGTAATTTCACAATTCCTCCTTTAAAAATTGTATTACGCTTGTACCAAGTCTTTTGTGTAGGCAGCTTCATTGCGGAGGTAGGTACTCACAAATGGTGCTCACATTAATACAATACAATATTAATACAATAAAAATAGTTTGTTCAAAAACGTGGTATATGTAACACACACACTGACACACAAAAACTAACACACACACTCTAACACTAACACACGTTTCTTTAAAATTGAATCCCCCAGCCTCCTTACCTTTGGGAGAGCTGAGGGGATTCCCTGGGCTCCAGTGGTGCTGCTGGGCAGCCGGTCACCGGGCTGGCTGGCGGGTGCGCGAGGGAGCACTCTCCCCTGAGCGCTCTCTTCCCAGCTCCCTCGTGCGCCGCGTACTGATGCCGGAGCCGGAATTACGTCATATTCCCGCTCCGGCATCAGTACGCGGCGCGTGACGAAGCTGGGCAGAGAGCAGTCAGGGGAGAGTGCTCCCTCGCCTGCCAACCAGCCCGGTGACACCAGGGCCAGTCTCAGGGAGCCTTGAGGTGGCCAACTCCTGGGCCCCCCAGGAGAAGAGGCCGGCTACACTGGTGTACATACCGGGTCACAGGGCGGCCGAGCCCCCTGGTGGGCCGGGCCCAGTCACAGCCGCAACCCCTGCGACCGCGGTACGTATGCCAGTGGCTGCCTCTTAAGTTTAGCTCCACTGAGCAAAACAAACCAGGAAGTAACAGGACCAATTGTCTGATTGACAGATGGGGTGTGTAACAAGGCTAATTTATAAAGGTGCCAAATTCTATTCAAATCTGCTCATTTTGTAAAGTGAAAAGAAGGGGACACACTATCCACACGTAACACACTTAGTAAGAAAAAGTACAGTGCAATGAGGTTGTTTTGTATTTCTTCCCTTATTTATTATTATTCTCCCCAGAGTTTTTGTCAGTTTTGTCTACATATTTAGAGCTAATGTAAAATTATATAGAATTGTTCTTTAAAGACATGTTTTACATGCAAAACAGCTGGAATAAATAATTTTATATCTGTCCAGTGAGCTATTTGTCTCTATGCTGCGTACCATGATTCTAGTTAGAATTACCTGACACCGGAAAGGTTATTAGTCATAGGTTAAATCATTTCAGTAAAGTACAACTCTAGTTTTACTTTATAGCAGCTTTTACTGGAAACAAGTTCACTTGAGAGATGGATGGTGACATATTCTTTGCAGATAGCATTGTTTTACGTAGAATCTTGGATGGCAGCTTTTCTTCTTGGACAGAAAATAAACCTGCCTACAAAACATATTTTAGCCCTAAGGGCAGACGCAGAGCAAAATAATAGCCAAACGTACACCTCAGACGGCAAAACAAATCTGTCTGTGGGGCATTTTGATAAGTGTAACTCGAAGAGCATTGCTTAACTTCTACGTTAACGGTACAGTATTGCAAAAATAAAAAAAGATTAAAAATATTTAATTAGCAAAAATGAATTTTCACACAAAGCACATTACTGATAATCCACTATAGAACATAGGAGTTCACACTGATGGAAAAAAATCTCTTCTGTTTCTGTTTTGTATGTTGAAATCTTAAGGAACTTCAGACATATGAATAACTTGCCTAAAGTCAATCCATCACGTGAAAGATAACATGTACGAAAGTGGTATTGTATGTACATCCTCCTTTAGTTGCCCTTGCTGAACCTGCACTGGCCTTCATTGTCAACGTAATCACAAACACAGCAACATTCTTTGCTGGTTGCATAGGGGCTGTCTGACTCTATCCCTTTCTGTTATCTTTCTTAATCACTTTAAATGAATCTGTTTACCTTCACCAACATTATGGTCTGTAACTGCGTTTTAGACATTACTGTAGAGGTTTTAAAAGTTCAGCTGTGCAACTATCCAGCAATGGGGCCCAATCTCATCTGTGTGGATGTGTGGATTTAGGATCTGCTCACTCAGGTCTATCGGTGAAGATTCCTTGAGGGAGCAGAAAGTTTAATCTACAAAAGGCCCTACGTACAGAGACCAGGAAGAATAGCCCTATATAAAAGGTGGTCATGGAAGGAAACACAAGAGTAAAGTCAGGAGAAGACTCCAATGGTTTAGTAAACTGGCATCAACAGATGTGGAAGAAAACTGGAGAGGGACATTGATAAGCTGTCAAGAGGTCTGGATGGCCCAACACGTAGCAGTTGAATTGAAGCCCTAGCATACAACAGAATAGCACGTTGCCAGTCTTTAGAGTGGCAGGCTTAATGCAATGCCTAGAATATGTGAAATGACAGAGAGTAGTCAATAGAAACAAGCCGAGGCCAAAGATATATAGATGACACAGAACTGATAATGCCAATCCAGGTCAGAGTAGAATCATCAAGAACAAGCGTCAGATAACAGAAGAATATAAAAAAACAGAAGAACGTGACACTGGGGTAGGCATCAGTAGGTTTTATATAGGAACTTATGGTTGTGTCATTTCTGAATGCCCAAAATGTACACAGACATTGGTGCTCAAATTTTTTAGACAATGCAGGGCACAGGGAGAATGACACATGACCCAAGGAGTACAGATGAGCACAGTACCTGCGG